TGGTAAAATATGTGAAAAGTAGAGTCGAATCTTTGCCAGAAGGACAGTAATAATGGACACTGACAATTCTGAGGGGTACCTCACACTATCACTCCAGTTGCACACACCAATGAGCAGGCGCCGCAACCAGTAGGAGTGATTAATGTCGAGTTCACACTAAATGATTTTAGTACTGCTTTAGACAACAGTTTTGGGAGATCACCGACAGATCAGAGCAAGTTTAATGTTGTTAAAGGAAATTTTGAAAATGTAAAATTAGCAACAATTAAAAAAATGTGTTCTTTCACAGATAGTGACTTTTATTACAGTTCTATAACTTTTATTCAGATTAAGATAAGAAAAATCAAATAATAACAGCAATCTTCTGTAAATTTTAGCCTGATTATTTGTATTATAGCAGTGTTTGCCTGTATTTATAGGTAATTTCACATGTGTAAATATCTTTAAACATTAAAAAGACAAAAAAGATTTTATGCTAACTTAAAGCTAAAAACTGTATTTTAGTTATAGAAAATTACTGTATTTTTATTAGTCAGTTATTTTCTGTTCTCTTACAGTATTTTTTTGGTGCTCCAGTCGCCGGAATATTACATAAATATTATATATTTTTTACAGTGTGTGTACATACTTTGTGTGGATTGTGTAATCAGTTTTGTATTGCACTTACAAGCATGATTATTTCCTCTATGTTGCATTTAACAAACAGTAAAGCTAATTTCCTCCTCCTTCCATCTTTTCCAGTCAGAGCAATGTGCAAATTCTGTGCCATCAGTGCCAAAGCACCACAAACAACATTAACCATCGTCCATATGTCACAAGTCCTACTGTATCAATTCATTCAAATTTTACTCATTTCAACTCATTAGATGAATTACTGTGATGGCAGCATATCAAGACAGAAGGCAGAGAAAATGAACTGCAGGCAGAACACCTCTTCCTCTTTGGCTGTCTGCTTCTCTGTCTTTCACTCTCCTTCCCTCCATCCCTGCATCTAGCTGCTTGTGTATAAATATTTGATTTCCTCGTCCTCTCATCATGTTGTACAGATATTTTCAGCTGTCTACAGACAGCTCTCCATCCATAGCTCAGATATTTCAGTCAGAGGTTAACATTGTTGTACACATTTGTCAACAATGTAAACAATCCACACTTGTTAATCAAAAAGCCAAAGAAACTGAACTGAACTGAACATACTGAACTATTTGGGGCTATACAATAAATACAACATTTTTTTCAATAAGTAAGGTGCTACACATTTGGTGAGATTGTTGTAGATATTGGCTGACTTTGTGTGTTTTGATGCATGCTATTAACATTTGAGTGTGACTGGCTATTTTGCACAGGTAGTATTATTAAAGAGTGGTTTGCTCTTCTGGAGTTTTAAGAGTTTTGAGAATGCCTCAAGCGATTGAGAAAAACTGCAATATGAAACTGTCACCACAACTACCGACTTTCTTTCCTTCTTATAGAGTCCAAATGTTTTCCAAACTTTAGATTTTAGATTTGATGGTGCACTCTAAATCGTGTCGGTGTTGTTGAACTCCTGCAGAGCTGTTACCATAGCTACCACTATAGTACTCCTGCTGAGCTGTTACCATGACTACCACTGTAATACTAACACAGGATGAGACTGTTACCACGACTACCACTGTAATACTATGGAACTGTCACCACAACTACCACTATAGTGCTCCTGCAGAGCTGTTACCATGGCTACCACTGTCATACAATACAGAATGAGACCTCAGAGTCACAGTTACCCAGGCAGTACTGATGCAGATAGACGTAATTCACATACTTTATGTAGACACCAACCTCCTCTATGCAATCCTTTCAGACCTCTTTACATTGTGCACATCAAATACACACACACACACATAAAACACACAAAGTGGTAGCAGTGAGTGGAGCTGATATGATTGATGAAGTCTTTTAGAGTAAGATAATCCTACTCAGTGGTTAATGGCTTACAACACCAGATGGGCAGCTCTCTCACTCTCTCAGTCTCACATACACACTAAAAACACATCCGCACAAAGGCAGACACATGCAAACACACAAAGACAATATTGTGTAAAGGTCATAGAGAATGAAGGAAAGAAATATGAATTAAGGGACACAATGTCGTTACAACATTATAGATCTAGTCTACACATACATTTGATACATTATGAAGTCCTAATAAAAGTGCAGTATTATAACAGAGCTACAGATAGGGCTGCAAAATATGGTAAAAATATAATATTACAATTATTTTAACAGATTTTACGATATGATTAAGTGTGGCGATTTCATTTCATTTTAAATTACTACTAAATACTACTACTAAATGATGTGAAATTGTTTGGGGTCTGTACAAAACAAAATGTTTTCTTAAATCTGGAAAACAAGATTTGTAGGCCAGAGCATCTCTGCAGAGCTACAGTACTTCATTATAATGCTGTTTGTCACACATTTTACCTTTAGTTTACCTGCAGCTTCTGCAATTTGCATATTGCACCTGGCCATGTTGCGATTTCGATAATATTTCAATTAATTGTGCAGCCCTAGCTGCTATAATGATGCAAAGGCTATTCGGAATAATTTGAGAACATTTTATAGAACTGAATTTTAAAAAAACCTAATAAATAACCAAACCACTACATCAATCTGTTCATGCAGCCTGAACCTGTGGAGGGACTTGGCTTGGGAACCGGAGGGTCGCCGGTTCAAGTCCCACAGACTACAAAAATATGGAGTGTGGACTGGTGCTGGAGAGGTGCCAGTTTCACTCCTGTGCACTGACGAGGTGCCCATGAGCAAGGCAACCCTAACCCCGAAGCCTGGCTCACTGGGGCGCTGTTAACGTGGCAGCCCCATCAACTCTCTCTCCCTGTTTGGCATGTCCACAATGCATGAAAGTGGTTATTTTCAGCCTGTGTGTGTGTGTTGTAAAAAAAAAAAAGAGTGAAACAATCAATTTCCCCTCAGGGATTAATAAATAATAATAAACCTCCAATAGACCCAGAAGAGAGCACACTGCAGAAAAGAATCCTGTCCATTCATGTGGTGGTATAAATACTTCAGTGATGAAAGATAAAGTGATTGGGGTGAGTAGATTTTTAGTTGGCTAACTCATGGCCTAATCCTGACTAATGAGGGTGCCAGCTTGCTTCTAAAGCACCAATGGAGATTAAATTTATTAATTCCTAAAATGCAACCTTGCAACGTGTGTGTTTAAGATTTTGTGGATTTGATGGATTTAATTATTTCCCATGTTTTGGCCATTGAGCTTGGATGATAGAATGAATGGCCCTGATTAAACAGGATGTTAAAAAAAAATTCTTCTCGTTAGGAGGTTTTCCTCTCTCTGCCCTTAGTATCTTTGCCCTTAACAAATCTCTTTTCCAGTTCTCTTCCTCTCCCGTCCTCGCTCACAGACCACCAAAGTTAATCTGATTAAACTAAGAAGCTGTCTGTGATTCCTGAACAACAATAGTGGCCTGCTAAGCAGCAGATTAGCATCAATTACATCATGAATTATGAAGATACAGAGACACAGATGAGGAAGGTGCCCTGAAGAGATAACAATGCAGCACATAAGTATTCGGTATAATCAGTCAAATAAATACAATGATGGAAGTAAAATAAGCATGGAGAGGGATGGAAGATGGATAATTGGATGGATTGGTAATGTTTATACCAGCTAGTACGAAATATCCTCAGTGTGCCACAGTAAATTTAATTACTGATTTCTGCCTATTTGGAATCCTTTATGTAAAACTTTGCACCAACTCACAGTATCTCTGAAGTGGTAACGAATGAACATGCTTCCTCTTTTAGTGGCAAATATAACAATTTTTTCAGACTGTCAAACATTCCATTTCCAAAATATGCCTGATTATGGAACATTTATTCCGACCTTCTGGGAATGAGGCTCCCAACAATCAACTTATCTTTCTCAGCTCTGAATGGCTTTGGTTTCAGGTGCAAGTGGATTCTTGCAAATGCCATTAGGAGCATAAGGAGGAGCCAGGAGTAACCAGATTTCGTCTCATATACTACTGTCAGGAATATAGTGATAAGTTTTTAGCCAA